TTAGGATCGCATATGGCCCAGGAACTGTAAACTGGAAAAGCAGGCCCCTTCCTTCTAGGTAGATTCTCAAGTTTTAGATTCCATGTGATTGACAGAATGGAATTCATTTTCTCAGATGAATCTTTCTGTGATTGGTACCACATCATCACATTTTTTCTTCCCTGTCTCCTTCTTATAAATTCATAGAAATCCATCTTCAGAAACAGAAAAAATGAAATATATCTGACTGTTACATAACTGTAGGGGCAACATTTGCAGGAACTGCAATCTACTATCAACCATGCAAAAAATCAACCATTTTTTCTTATGGAGTACTAAACTTATTTGGTGAATAGCACTTTTGTGATTAAAGATTTTGTGAAACTAAGTAAACATAAATTACAGATGGCTAGACAGGAAATTATGGTGTGCTAAACATATAATGAATGACTACCAACAGTGGTAGATGAGGAGAAATTATTTGACAATCATCCGAAGCAGGCTGAAGATTTGATGGAATTTTTATATGCTGTATCTGTTTTGAGTTAATGCTTATTAAAAGAGGATTAATCTACATTCATATTTGAGGAACAGCTTATCAGCAAAAGGAATGAGGTTTGGCTAGCAACATTAAAGTTTTCATTTGTAGGAGGAAAATGTGGCCTACTAGAGATAGGCATACAGAAAGCTCTCTTGCCTCAAAATGTCAGCTGAGTGTGGTATTTCTATTTTATATTTCTAGCAGGCATGAAGATTAGGTTTAACCTTGCCAGATATTATTTGTAAACATTTAGATACAACCACAATATATCTGCATGCAGTATAAGATTTCTCTTCAATTTATGTGAATCTTAAGTTTATTGCCCCATCATTTTCCCCACAAGGATTCCTTAAATATCTTTGTCTTTGTAAATATGAATTAATATATTCCACTATATTTTATGAACAAGTTTCTTCTTTGATACTATGATAGCAAACGTTTAAGCTTTCAAACAATCTGTGTTAGATTTGGCACTATTAGGCACATTTTTCTTGTTCTTTATAAATAACAAGGACAAATTGAGAGTGATAGGTAGTCTTCCACTTCTCTTTGCTAAATTCTGGAGCTTTGGAAAATCCAGCATATTTAAGGAAAAAAATAGAAGGAGATATAATTGTGCTATCACAAAATTCCAGGATTCTTTTTATTCTTTTGTAAACCCATGGGTAAACACACATTGTAAATTGTCACTGAGAATAAATTGATAATAACCATTTTGGTAGAGAATTAAGATCCAGTCTTTTGTGGTCATTTGTCCTTAAAATGAGAAATTTGTGATATAAATTGCAGCCATTGAAAATTAATATCACATTAGCTGTATCTCCATTCACTATACGGGATGAATTTATTAAAAACAGTGACAATATAAATTGTAGAAAAAAGCAAAAGTCCAGTAGCACCTATTTGTGGCAGGGTATGAGCTTTCATGAGTCATGCTCGCTTCTGCAGATACAGCTAGAATGTGAGTCCCATCTGTCCTTATATCTTGGAGAGTGGAGTGGTTTCAGATGCCAAATGACAATAGCAGGTAAATGACAATAGCAGGCTTGAGTGGATTAGGTGTGATATGCAGAGGTGTGGAGGAATCAGCAGTGGTAATGAGACAGGAAACCTAGGTCTCAATTCAGTCCAAGAAGATGCATTGTCTTGCCCTTCATTATTAGTTGTAATTCAGCAGTCTCTGAAAACTGTGTCGTAATAGGTGATTTTAACTACCCACACATTGATTGGGTCAATATGTGTTCTAGTTGGGAAAAATAGATTGAGTTTCTAGACACTCGTAATGACTGTGCTATGGAGCAGATGGTCACGGAACCTACCAATGGAGAGGCGATCCTGGATTTGGTCCTAAGATATGAGGGGACATGTGAGGAAGAAACTGAAAGGAAAAGTAGAAAGGGTCAAAAACATTGGGGAAGCTTGGAGACTATTTAAAACTACAATCCTAAAGGATCAGAAAAAAATATATATCGCAGGTTAGGAAAGGCACAAATAGGTATAGGAAAAATCCTGCATGGTTAACTTACAAAGTAATGGAAGCTGTAAAAGGTAAGGATTCCTTTAAGTGGTGGAAAGCTAGTCTCAGTGAGGTTGATAAAAGGGAACACAGGCTGTGGCAAATAAAATGCAAGTCTGTGATCAGGCAGGCAAAAAACGAATATGAGGAGCATATAGCAAAAAAATATAAAGACCAACAATAAAAATTTCTTCAAATACATTAGAAGTAGAAAACCAGCCAGGGAGGCAGTGGGGCCCTTGGATGACCAAGAGGTAAAAGGAGTACTGAAAGATGATAGGGAAATGGCTGAGAAGCTAAATGCATTTTTTGCCTCTTTCTTCACTATGGAAGATGAGAAGTGCTTGCCCACTTCCAAAACCACTGATTTCGGGAGCGGTGTTGAGAGACCTGAGTCAGATTGAGATGATGATAGAGGAGGTCCTACGACTGATAGACATCTTAAAAACTGATAAATCACCAGGCCCGGATGGCATACATTCGAGAGTGCTGAAAGAACTCAATTGTGAACTTGTGGATCTCCTGACAAAAATATGTAATCTTTCATTTAAAACTGCCTCCATTCCTGAGGACTGGAAATATAGGGAGGAAGAGTATTCAGTATGAGCATCCATTGGCATAAATAGAACTGGTACAGCTTTAAGACCTTTCTTCCCTGAGGACACACCACTACCCTCTGGTTCCAAGTTTCTGTTTTAGCATTAGGGAACAGATGCAGCATAGAAAGGGAATATATGCTATCACCAACCAAAGCAGAAATGTGAACATTAGTTCTTAATCAAAAATTAAAGTGTAGGATGTATTATTATACCCAGGCAACCCACACATTGTTTTTGAAGGTTATGTTAAAGGCATGCTAATTTTTGTTTTGACAAATTCAGAATGCATTTAAGAAAATGAAATTAAAAGATAATGCTGGAAGAGGGGGAAGAGAATCTACATTATATTTGACCGCACCATTTTCTAACCCACTTAGACAAAAATCAAATAAATAATCTTACACCCATATTTTTCTGAATATTTCTCTAAGCATTTCGCTGTAGCCTATCTATTCTAGAAAGAGTGATTCTGTTGTTGATTAGTGTATTAAAAAGCAACATAAGAATAACATTGGTATTTGTTAATATGTCATTTTGTTAAATGAGCTTGTATGTAATATTATACTCACAACTCTACAATTTTACTTGTGTTATCTCATTTTCGAATAGAGATAGTAAACCATTTAATGTTGAATATGCCTGTTGTGACTTTCTAGAAACAATAATTGCCCATACTGTGGTGATAGGCAATTAATCATTGGTTTCCATGTTCATTCTATATGGGATCCCAAAGGAGTTCCCTTTGTTTTCATTGTCATTAAATGTGCATTGTGAAGCCACTTGTGGAACTGATAACATCGCAAAATATAACTCATCATCAGAAGGCTGCTGATACCCAGGTTTATATGTTACTGTTTCTGCTGATCATAGCATTTCTTTCTTGATGTTGTACAGTTGTTTAACTGAGATTGTGAAACTGTGGCAAGAGATCAACAGAAAAAGCTGTTTTGTGTGTAATATTTACATATATTTCTGCATTGATTTAGAAACATTTGTTGTGGAGGGTTTAATTTCATTTATTCATATCCTGCCTTTCTCCCAATGGGCACCCAAAGCTGCCTATATTGTTCTTCTCTTCTCCATTTTGTTCTTGTAATAACCATGTGAGAGTGTTTGACTGTCCTAACCTTCCATGTCAGAGTGGTTATTTGAACCTGTGATCTCCCAGATCCCAGTCCAAAATTCTAACCACTGTACCTCATTGGCTCTCTCACAAAAATCTTTTCTCTGTATGGGATTTTTTTAAGAGAACTAATTCTATGAGTCTGCAATCTGTTTGTCTGTACAGAATACTTAGACCTTCTGCTTGCTGTGTGATGATGGCTACAGAATAGTAGGGAGCTGGAGCTGGGTTTCAGATAGATAATGGAGCTTGGATATCCAGCTTCAAAACTCCACTCAGCCATGAACTTCCGGAGGTGACCTTAGGCCGTCCTCTATTACCTAATATATCTCACAGGACTATTAAAAGTTGAAATTGGGAGGAAAAAGAAAAACCCCTTTTCTCCTTCCTTGTGCTACTCTGTGGAAGGACAGGATACTTCACTGGACCTTAAAACTTTGGGATGTTCTTCTCTGAATACCAAAGTTACATGATTTCAGCAGCAAAAACACAACCTGATATGGGCATAATGAGAAATAGTTCAGGGATTAAAAATAGAAACCTCCAAGGTTTTAAGCAAATCAAAACCCTTCAGAGTAATTTGGTGTAGGATATATAAATTCAGACTTTGCCCTGAAAAGCATCCACTATTATTTTTAAGATTATGGACAAGAAAATTATATTGTTACTTAACATATTTATAGCATGCACTCAATTTGTTTCTTATCAGGCATGGATAAAATTATTTTATAATATTGGATGGGGGTGTACTTGTACTTTTTGTGTTGCTCCTATTTACGTTTCAAAACGATTTCTGTTTTTACTCTTTTATGATAATAGTAAACTAATATTGTCAGGTTGTGTTTAATTATTGACCGAAGTGCCATCATTTTGAAAGAGGGTACAGTTTAGTGTTGATTTACCTTGAAAGGATGAAGGACATTTTCAACAGAACTATGCCAGTTCAGGAGCTTCTATATTCCTTTTGAAGCCAAGGGTCTATTGATCTCAGGAAAAAATTACCAAAACCTTAAAATATCAAGGGATCAGAAATAAGTTGTCCTATGAGTCTGAAACTGATAAAGATTGATTTAGATCAATATCATCTAGTAGAAACCAGGAGATAGGTCAGCTTTCTTTTTATGGTTTATACTAGGTTATATTGTTTAATGCATTATCTTGTGAGCTTTAATAGTGCTTCATGTAAGTCACTTGCTATGACTAATGGAATTTTGTACTCTTTTGTGTTTGGAACCCAACCAGTCACTTTTCAAAGAGGAGATGGAGGACTTATGAGCAATGGAAGGTATGCCTGTTATTGAAAGGTCATATTTAATTTCTGGTTCTGTCAAATTTAAGTTGTATCATATTTCATACTTGATTGGGAATTAAAAATACAGTAATACATGATCAGTTGCAAGAGTGACAATTCTTAGGAGGAATTAAGTATCTGAGACCAGGTTTTAATGATCTATCTCTTGTACACTTGAGGGGAATCACGTCCAGATGTTTCATATCTCCCAGATGCCCAAGAAGAAATTAGTAGGAAGTATCACAAAGAATGTGTTCATTTGTTTCCAGGATGTTTATTGCATTAATTAGGCATTAGTAAATGAAGTTGCTGTTGTTTAAGACTCCTTATTGGCTCCCACTAAATTGCTGTGAGTGAACAATTACATACAATCGATCACAAAATAAATGATTCATGGAAGATGAATAGGTTGTAGATTGATAGGACTGGATTCTACAACTTTGGCTACTCAATTGAAATTGATAAAAGTTGATAACAGACCAATATATCCTCATCTATTTTCTTAATGCCAATATGGAGATTGTAATTAGGCTCTGGTAATAACTTCCAATCTCCTATTTAATCAATATTTAGCCCCCCCTCCTGAAAAAAGATTAGGCTTAATGAGAGTTCATAGATGTTACAAGAATGCTACAGGATCTCCTTATTGCTGTTTCCATAGAAACCCACATTTCTTTTAGGAATTCATGAAGGGTACAATGGTTATAAACATTATTTATTTTTAAATTTGCTGATGCTCAAGAGCAGGTTTAAAGTTGTGCCTATTATGATGGCCAAATTCTATGTGGTGTTTCCTATCTTTGTCCTGTTGATCATGCTAAACTTAGTAGAAGGATTGTGTTAATTTGTTTCCAGGATGAACCAAAATGTTTAAATTCTACTTACAAAGAATATATTGTCTTATTTCCATTTGTTCTGCATGGTGTTTAGTGTGTTTCTTTGAAATCAAATCATAAGAACATGAAAGCCTGTTGACACAGATAAAAATGGTTTTTTGAACTTTCCATTAATCCCACTCAAAGCTAGAGTGCTCAAAGGAAGAACTAGTAGCTTATGAATGACAGACATATATTTGGGATGCAGGAAGTGAAGGAATAGTAGCCCAGAGTCCTGGAAATGGCTGATACAGAACAGTCACTTTGAGTGATTGTTCCCTTGAGGTGGCAATTTATCATTCATTCCTAGTGTGGGATCTTTCAATTGTGCAGCCTTTTCGTTGTTTCAAGACAGACAACAGAGTTCATTGGGATTCTAGCAGACTTGTAACCGATGTTCTATTCCATTTCCGCATACAGCACTCATTAGTATAAAACCCCCAATTAACATGCTGAAGCTTATTACTTCACTTTGAATACAAAATAAATGTAAAATCTCATAAACTTTGTGTTATGTACAATATCCCAGGGGGAGAAATGTATAAAATCTCTTCAGTTATAACTACATGGAGTTTCTACACAGACATATTTTGTCTTTCTTTTTCTTCAGCCGACCAGGCCTGTTAAATGCAGGTGACCCCAGTTATCCATGGCTTGCAGACTCATGGCCTGCCACCAGCCTGCCGGTCAACAACAGTACAAGTGGACCAAATGATCTTGGGAACTTTGGCCGTGGAGGTGGGTATTTCATTAAAAAGTTACCAAATGTGATACTGTGTCCCAAATGTATTTTGAAAACATTTTCAGTCATATAAAGAATTTATTTAGATGACAAACACCTATGACACTTTTAAAGCCCTCCCCCTTTGAATGTTAGTTTATGAACTTCATGGATGGTGTAAGTCAGATTCTGAACATGGAAGATAGATAGATAGACATACAGACATTAAGGCACTACTAGGCTGCGATCATACGGACAATCAGACACGACATAGGCACGAATGCCAGTCAGACTTAAAGGGAGTGATCAGACAGCAACATCTGTGAAGCATCCTGCAGCCGTTGGCAACCCGTTCTGCTCCGCCACAGAAGGGGAGTTAAAAGACATCGGGGAAAATTCGGTAGTAAACGGGTTGTGACGGGTTACAAATGGACTTTACCCTGTCTAATCACTCCAGTGCACTCTCATGCCGTCGGGATGGTCTGATCAGGCCATCCTGACTCCATGCCGTTGTTTCCCCCCCTTCACAGTATGCGCATCATCGCAGACCCCATAGGAAGCCCTCAGTGCGGAGGTGCGATTCATCGATTCCTCGTTTAAGTGCATGGGAAACAAACAGCACAAAAAAGGACTCATCTGCAGTTGTGTCTGATCACACAATGACGGGCTGTGCCCGAAGCATCAACGGGAGGTGTGATCTCGCAACTGCATGTCAAATTCCTCCTGAGGAAATAGCCTCGCTTCCCCCATGTTTTATTTGGCGCGTTTGATAGCCCCCCTATTTTGTCATCAATTGCCTTTTAAATCACTAAGCATGTATTTCATCTGATTAATAGAATTAATTAATAAAATTAATATAAATTAATGCAAGAGGATTACTTTTTTCTTCTTCTGGCAAACAGTGTCTCTTCTACTCCACTCTCCCAGCTTTATTTATTTGTTATTTATTTATTTTATTACATTTGTATTTCGCCCTCCCCGCAAGTGGGCTCAAGGCAGCTCACATTTATCGGCAGCATAAATGTCACTTCCCAAAGTCATTTCATGTGGGAGGTAGAGTTGCCAGGCACAGTCTGTCAATCAGTAGGAGGCCGGCAGGGTAGGGACATGGAGGGTGCCGGCGCAATAGTGTGATGTCATTTCTGGGAAGAATTCTAAAGTGTTGTCAGGCCTATCTAGGAATCACTGGAAACTCTATGGTAAAATCATATAGTTTCTGCTGAATCATAGTGTGGACTGACGTCACTTCTGTTTTTTTCCCAAAACTGATGTCCCATCACTGACTATGACTTTTGTTTTAAAAAAAAATTCACCTGCCAGCTACAGGAGTGGTGGCATAAAATAAGGTATAGGAGTGGGGAAATGGCAGTTGTAATGAGAAGTGGAAGCAGTCTGAGTGCTTTTAAAATGGGTATATTCAAATACTAGACACGTAGTGACTACATTTTGTTGGAGTTTTGTTTCTTTTATAAGATTTGGTTATTAGGAATAATTTTCCAGGATTTTTCTGAAAAGTTCACTAATGCTAAATTAATATTCTTCAGATTCAGAGCAGGTGGAATGAAGTATATAGCTCGAGCTTAGGGATTGAACCAGTATTTACATTCTGCTAAATGGCAGAGCTTTCGTCCCTGAGACTGCCGAGAGCCACCAAAACATCTGGACAAAGTTCCCTCTGTAGTGCCCCACTGCTTTTAAAATGAAAGAAGGAAAAAAGAGGTTTACAAATCCTGAAGTGAAAGAAGTTCCTCTGAACTCTGGGATATACAGCAATGCATAAAGGGAAAATCTTTCTAGCAATTTAGGTTCTATGCTGGGAAAATTTGCTTTTCTCTAAATAGCCACTGGACTCCAGTGGCTACCCATCTTGAATTATCAGTTTAACGTTTCACTTAACTGAAAAAGTGGGTACCATTAGCACACTCCACCTAGTTGTTGCCAAGGTGACTGTGCTTCAGATTATCATTCACCATGTTCCTTACCTAAGTTGGTAGACTTTCTTAAGAACACAAGAAGAGTCTTGCTCAATCAGACCAGTGCCTATCTAGTCCAGCAACCTGGTTCACACAGCAGCCAACCATTTACCTTGGAGGGTGAAGAAACAGGACATTGAGGCCTTTCTCTGTTGTTGCCAACCAACACTGCCTCTGAATATGGTTTACTGCCTCTGAATATGGAGGTTCTCTTTAGTCACTATGGATTGTAGCCATTGTTGGACCTAATCTCTATGAATCTGCCCAACCCCCCCTTTAAAGCACCCATGCTTGTGCCCATCACTAGATCCACTTGCAGTGAATTTCACAACAAATTCTGGATGTGTAAAGCCGTATTTCCTTGTGTCTGTCCTGGATCTGTTGTCAATCCACTCCATTAGGTGCCTCTAAGTGCTGTTCGCTTTTTCCACTTCATGCATAATTTAATAAACCTCTATCATGTTCTCCCTAAGTCATCTTATTTCTAAACTGAAAAGTCCTGAACTATTAATTCTTATCTTTTCATCATAGGAAAGATGCCGCTCCCACTTCATCATCTTAGTTTCCCTCTTCCCACATTGCTCTATTGGCCATTTTATTTTCACTTTATTTTCTAATCATTCCCAGCATGAAGTTGGGCTTTTCCATATCCTCTGCATGTTTATTGAGAAATAATTTCCTCTTTGTACAACAGTGCTTTTCCTTTGTAAGTGTGCATTGGATTGCAGCCTTGGATGAGAACAGAGGGATCTTTTATTCTTGTCTTTCATTCGATCTTCCTGTGTCTTTCTTTCCTCATCTTAGAACAAAGTTAGAGTCCAAAGGCACCTTTAAGAGCAACAAAGCCATAAAACGTTGTCAGTCTTAAAGGTGCCACTGGACTCTAACTTTTCTGTTGCTTCAGATCAACATGGCTGCCCACCTGGATCTTTCCTTCTCTCTTTTATTTGTTTCCATCTATGACCTTCTTTGCGCTATCCAAACTTTTATTCCTTTCTTTTTATTCCTGACAGAGAGAGATCAAAATAAGAGAGAAGTATAGCAAATCCTGAAAAGAATGGCTGAAAAAATTCAGAAGTCAGTTAATGGTTGAGAACTCAGCAGAAGTAACAGTTTGCGTGTTTCATACAAATATTGGCTGAAATCCTTCCTGGACTTTATGCCTACAAAGCCAGTGCAAATGTCATAGAGGGCCACATTGGGTCAGGCTCACTTTCCCCACAGCCACACATAAGGTTATCAGACCCGTCCTGGCACCCAGCACAATACAGAGTTGGGCAGGGACTTGGTCTTGTGGCGGCCAGCACTAGTGTGATGTCAGCAATTCCTACAGAGGTGTATTATTACTTCCAGGTTTCCTTGAAGTGATAATAAACCTCTCTAGGAATTGCCAGATACTCTGTGGTAAAGCCACAGAATTTTTGTCAATTCCTACAGGGGCTAGGATTCCTAGAGAGTACAGTGGGGGGGGGGTTGTTCCCACTGTCAAAAATGCCCAATCACATTCATTATGTTCAGAATCATAATTTTGTAAACAAATATTCCAGGTTCCTAAAAGTGATTGCATAACCTCTAGGATTCCTAGAGAGTACAGTGGGGGATTTGTTCCCACTGTCAAAAATGCCCAACCACATTCATTATGTTCGGAATCATAATTTTGTAAACAAATATTCCAGGTTCCTAAAAGTGATTGCATAACCTAGCCTCTCTTTTTTTTTCTCTGCTGACTTTACCCCTACCAGGTCCAGTAGGAACTAAAGGAAGTGGGGGCTGGGAAGAGAGTTTTCTCTTGCATGGGGTAACAAGTTTACAACCCTATTCCCATGCTATGTCCTCAGTTCAGGTCAATCCCTGCTCATACTTGTTTTAAGAAGAAGAAGAAGAAGAAGAAGAATGACACAAACTGCTCTTTTTCAAGGACAGCTGTGCCAGAGCTTGTGACTGACCCAAGGTCACATTATAAAACCATTATAAAAGTCTGGAAATCTGATCATGAGGATCTCTCCCATTTTGCCTAGTTGTACCATGAACAGGTGAATGTCAAGGCAGTCTGTTGGAGAAAAGTAGCTAAATTACAAATATTTTACATTGCAAGCCAGCTCCCAGCTTTTTCTTAACTCTGAAGTTTCACCTTGCTTCAAGAATATTTTAAAGAGTGTGTCAAAAATATGGTGATCTGCATGGACTACAGCTTGAATAACTCTTTAAAATACATGAACACAACTTTTAAAGTTCCTTAAACTTTCTTCTAGTATTTGGCTCCATAAATATTAATGAGTGCATTTGTTGAAATGTCTGTGATTCAATTTTAAAAGCTCTGTACTTTTCTGCATTTATCCTTTTGCAACAGTTATGTTTTCATTAGTTAGGAAGATTAATTTCTTGATGTGTCAGAGACTGTCACTGTGAGGATATATGATGCAGCCTTCAGCACACCAAAAGATTAAAATTATTAATGTATCTATGTGTCTGCAAAAGTTTCATGAAGCTGCACATGAACAAACTGCAAGATCTCAGGTTAACTATTTCTTATTATTTCTTTGATTTCACTATAATTTAGGGACCCATTTTTTTAGCAGTGCTGTCTTTCAATTTCCACAGTGGGTTTACTTTATCAGTATAATTGACTGCTAATTTACAGTAATTTTCTTTGTGCCTCATGAAATCTTGGCCCATTCCAAAATGATGTATTCCTTATTCTTTTTTCCCCTCTTTTACTGTCAAAAAGAAATGTTTAGATTAACTTCAAAAATCAAACCAGATAAAGTGCTGGGTTAAAAAACATCTTTTAAAAAATCCTGAGATTTTTGGGAAAGAATGATCTAAGGAGAGGTCAGTGTTAATTTAGAAGTTCTGTTCAATGCTCACAAGATGTGTGTGTGATGGTGGCAGAGGCAGGGGGAGAAACCGAGGAAGATAGTTATTCTTGTAAAATCATTCCTTTCATCATTTCCCCAGAGCACAATTTCATTGGTTCTGGCATGAAATGAACAATTGAAAACATTCTTCAGGACAGAAATATTCCAAACTTTCACAGCTGAAGGTATGAAGGAAAGATGGTTTTAGGCAGTGAGACGTGAAGGACAAGTAGAAAGTTTGTCACAGATGCTTATACCGAGGCAATGGTTGTACATCATCTTCCCTTCATTGGCTCATGGACTCTGTCTCTGCTGAAATGCAAACATGACACATTTATTTTTTCATATTAAAAACTTGGTAGTTTCGGGTTTCTTGTGCATCAATGATTTGTTTCATTCCCATATTTTCATCGCAGATGTGCTGCCTCCAGTTCCAGGCCAAGGAGATAAAACTGCCACAATGCTTTCTGATGGAGCCATTTACAGTAGCATTGACTTCACGACCAAAACTAGCTACAACAGTTCCAGCCAAATAACTCAGGCTACGCCGTATGCCACAACACAAATACTGCATTCCAACAGCATCCATGAATTGGCAGTTGATTTACCAGACCCCCAGTGGAAAAGTTCAATTCAACAAAAAAGTGACCTGATAGGGTTTGGTTACTCTTTACCTGATCAAAGCAAAGGCAACAATGGTGATTCCACCTCTCAGTTTTCTTATAAGAATTGTTTCTGAGAATATTGTGCATGATTTATATTCTAGTTCCTTCTCCCCTGTTCCTGTCTCCCTTATCTAGTAGCATACCTTGCATGCATTCAGTACTTTTGCATATGCCTCACACTGTAATTATGCCATAATTCTCTGCTCACTTCATCTTTTGCTAATACACAGCACATCTGCCTCCCCATCTCCATTGCCATTAGGATATACTAGGTTAAATATTTTCCACAGTCCAACTACATCAGCTGTCTGTTGGCTAACTGCATGTTCTGCATGTGCTATAAACTAATCACATGATGGCACTATGACCTTTGCCCTTTAACCCTTAGCCTTACTTTACATTCCTGACTACCGATTGGCTGAGGGATTGTCTAATAGAATGCCACACAACCAGTCACAGGATTTCAGCACCACCAGCTCTCACAACAGCTCAGAAAGAAGTGGCAGCCTCTCAGGTTGGTTTCAATAAAATGTGTGTAAGGAGAAGTGTTTGTGTTTGTAAGCAGCTTTCTTTATATTCCCAATGATAACCTTGAAAGAGTGATCACTACACTAAGAGCCTGTGTTCAGGTATGATGGCATCCCTTCCATTTAGAGTTCTGTGAATATGTCACCTTGACTTGGATTTAAAAAAAAAAAAATCTGTGTGCCTTATTTGTCCTAATAGAACAAGAAACCCATTTACAGATAGTAAGAAAACATTTGTAGCCTTTATACTCTGTGTATTTCAGCATGATTGGAAATCTTATTGTGTAACATTCACACTGTTCTGGCACAATGCTGATTTTATTCGTAAATCAATCTTCTCTTTATAGTGCTGGCTTTCTCTGTGGAGCTTCATGATGAGGTTAATATTCTTGCTGTATTATTATTGCCACCCCCCAACTCCTGTGAGGCTTCATGATATTTCGATTGTGTATCAAGAAATCTACCCCTCGTAATATACTGGAATTGAAAGAAAAGCGTTCTTATGACAGTGGCTGGTTAAAAAGTTTCAAAGCTGTATACAAACATAAACTATAGGTATTACACTGCATGCCATATTGGAATGACTACACCACATCTTTGGGAAATAGCTCAACTAGCATTAGAAGTAATTGCAAACTTGTATTAAATTGTATTGTGCAAAATGATGCTAGTAACACATTTTAATTGTCTGATCGAGAATCACTTTAATAGACTTGCTCTTTCTATGCTAGATCCTTTTTTCTATGCTACATCCTTCTGCCTTCTTTTCCTATATCTCTTACCACTCAAGACCACTGGCATCCCTCTCTCCTACTCAAATGCCCCACTATATGATTGCTTACACCCCTGCCCTTAGTTGCTTCTTTCTTCCTTAGTCTGCACTTCATAGCATGATTCTCACACCATGTATCAGAATTGTCCTTCAGATTCTCCTATATTTTACCATGTTTTGGCTTGGATCCCGCTGAACAGATCCGCATGGTGGCGAGGGGGTCACCAATTCTCTCACCAGCACCATCTCTCCAGCTATCACCTGTTGCTTTCACTCCCTCCCCAACAGTATTTTGGTACATTTTGATGGAATGTCTTGCTTCTTGAGTCCTTGCTAGACTCCTTGTTGGTTTACCATGTTCTCTTCAAGTTGTCTGCAAGACACTTTTTAGAAGAAATCACTACATTATATGTGCTTACAATATCACCAAGGAGAGCTTATCAATACTTTTTCCAATGGAACTTCTTAATACTGTTCCAGTGAGAAACCACTTACATTAATAATTGATATTTTAACTATTACTTTTCTCCTTCAATTCAAAAAGTAAAGTTTTTGGTTGCGTGCTTAACAACTCTTTTCCACAGAGAGAAAGGGAGAGAGAAATTATGCAAAAAATTATTATGAATACACTGAGATCTGCCATTTGAAAGAGTTTTCTGCAGTCTATTATTTTTTCCAACAATGGCTGCATGGAGGCTTAAAGCAGACATGAATAAATCAATAAATATAGTTTTGATACAGCAAGTACATTTTAACTTTCAGCTTATGCTTCATTGTGGCTAGGCTATATGAAGTGTGTGAAATAAAAAGAAGTAATTCTGGGCAATTATACAGACTATTTTCATTCCATTCCACCCTATTATTATTTATAACCTTGTGACAACTATAACACGTTACTGCTGATGTTGCTAAGATAAAAATACTCTTCTCTCTTCTTTCTTTTTTGAGCATGCCATCTGGAATCAGCGCTCTTTCAGGAAATTTAAATAACCAACTTAGTTACTCATATTTTTATAATGTTTCTTGATTTCAGGTGGGAAAGGAGGAAAGAAAAAGAAAAACAAAAATACTTCGAAGCAACAGAAAAATAATGGCTCTAACTGGGCCAGCATCCCTCTCCCACCCCCTCCAGTACAGCCTCTTCCAGGCACAGAGCTAGAACACTATGCGGTGGATCAGCAAGAAGCAGGGTAATGTTTTGTTTTCCTCTCTGGATGCAACTTGGAGTTTAGTATTTCCCAGCTATGCTGTACAAGGTGTGCCATACATGTTATTAGGGACTAAGCTGTTTCCGGCGTTTTAGCATGGGTTCGGCATTAATGCATTGGTGTGTGTGGAGCTCATGGACTCTTAGTGCCTACCATGTTATTATATATAATAATAAACTGTTTTATAATTACAGGTTCCCATTTACACACGCATGCTCACTGTTTCCAATAATAAGAAGTTCCAATTTTTAAAAATTGCAATAATAATGTTCTGTTTTTCATACTGTGCTGTACTTTTGACTGGTCTTTATATCTGGCCTCAAGACTCGGGATTTGGAGCTTATTATCAGGACCTATAGGTGGAACACTGAAATCTCAGGGGTGCCGACTACCACACCCCTGATGGCTTGTTTAAAGATTTCTGTGCATACATAACTGCTGCACATGTTGATTTGGTGTAGGAGAGCCATTTTGGTGTAGTGGTTAAGAGTGCAGACTCTAATCTGGGAGAACCGGGTTTGATTCCCCACTCCTCCACTTGCAGCTGCTGTTGTGACTTTGGATCAGTCACAAGTTCTCTCAGAGCTGGTCTCTCAGGAGCGGTCCTTGAAAGAGGTCTCTCAGCCCCACCTACCTCACAGGGTGTCTGTTGGGGGGATGGGAAGGGAAAGGAGATTGTAAGCCGCTATGAGACTCTGAATGCAGGGCGGGGTATAAATCCAGTTTTGACACAGTTGTGACACAACACAGACTTTACTGAACTGCAAACCATGGCAAGGTGTGAAGACTCCACTTGCTACATCCCTAGGGCCATGGGGAAGAGAAGAAATTGAGAAGAGATTTGGGAGGCAAACCTTTTCATGTCCACAGACAGTCCACTAACCTTTAACAACCTCTCAGTCACAATAAAGCTATTCATAACATGAACACAGTACTTGGGAGCAGAGGCTGCAATAGGAGCAGAGGCCCATATTGACTCTGATAAACCCATATTGACTCTGATAACAAAATCACCAGATCTAATAACACCATCCATACTATCTTAGATTCATTCACTTCTTCATCTCCCATATTATATATGCCATCAAGTGTCACCAATGCCCCTTCTATTTTATGTAACAGACAAAAAGGCCAGTCCCTACACAAAAGTATAAATGGACAAAAACCTGACATTAAAAAATCACAATACTCAAAAATCAGTGGGAGAACATTTTAATATTCCAGGACATTTCATTGCTAACCTGAGAATGCCAGTCCTCAAATGGAGAAGCTTCAAAGGGAGATTGCAACAAAAGATTGCTGGACTTGAGTTCATTCATAAATTCAGAACAATCGGCCTCCAGTGCTGAATAGGGATGTAGGATTATTCTCTCTCTACGGATGCTAATTTTCTGCCCCTATGCATTTATTCCCTGCTGTAATCAAGCTGGTTACATTTTGCATTGTGCATTTATATCCTGACTCCCTTCACTGCAACACCCTTCCCATCTTCGGACGAAGGGAGCTTTCATCCTCGAAGGCTTATACCTGAAAAATTTTGCTGGTATCTACAGTGCTACTGACTGGAATCTAGTTCTTCTATTGTAGACCAATATGGCTTTTCAAGTATTGTTTTCATCTTGTAAAGATGTACTTTGGGAAGACTGCAGCCATTATCAATGTGACATTATAAATAACTGGAAAGTGTAATTTGAAAGACAAACATAGTAAAAGCTAAGCCAGAGTCGTGTGAAACTTGAAAATATGCTGTCATCATCACTGATTGCTTAGCTTTAAATAACCAGTGTTGTCTTGGTGACAAACATAATTTTCCCAGCCAAATAATAGATACTGTACATGACTGAGAAGCCAAGACCTGTGTCACAAAGGTTTCTCCATAGATAATGCATCAATTTACCTGTCTTATTTATCAATGCAGTATCTTAGAAATATATGGGGGTTATTTGTCTGTTATTGCTCAATTATCTTAGCTGAACAGCAATACATTAAAGTGCAGATTTCAGTTTGTTGTGGGGCAGAGGGGGTGTTATTAATCAGTAACCATTTGAACTAAATTTCCTATTATTTCTTTGTATAAGGGGACAATTCTGAAGTGCCCTTGAAGCAAAAGGTTCTCTCAAAAAACTTTTTAGGGTCTTATTACTACCAAAGCAGTTTTTGGTTTGCAACCCATCCAATGGAACTGCAAAAGGACCGGGTTCAAAACACTTTTTCTCATGCTGAATTGGGCAAGCTGTTGTTTCTTCAAAAATATTTTTGGATGAACATGTATGAATTTCTTATAGTCATGGAAGTGAGAAGAAGTGTGCATGCACACCAAAGCTTATACCCAGAGTAAAAGTCTGTTGGTCTTAAAGGTGCCACTGGACTCAAACTTTGTTCCGTCCCTCAAAATGACATTCCGATTGAGGAGGGAGCAGCTGCAAATAGCAATACGTCTACCTGATAAACTAATGTGTCACCCAAATACAAAAACAATCATGGAAAGAAATATTATGAATATCAACTTACTTCCTGGTAAGGAGCTTGCAAACTTCACACCAGCCCAGTTCTCATTTATTATGTGGAGAGGACAGGTTGGGAACCACAATGGTAAGACCCAGGTTACAGACTGGGGAGCCAGGGTACAGGGTCACTCCTCGGTGTGTTGTGCGGCTCCTTCGTTGAATGCCTAGTGGAAGAGCTCTGTCTTGCAGGCCCTGCGGAACTGTAGAAGGTCCTGCAAGGCCCTGATCTCTTCTGAGAGCTCATTCTACCAGGCTGGAGCCGCCACCGAGAAGGCCCTCGCCCTGGTTACTGCCAGCCTGATATCCCTAGGGCCTGGGAGGACCAGCCAATTTTGTGCTCCTAAAAGCAGTGCTCTCCGGGAAACGTGTGGGGAAAGGCAGTCCCTCAGGTATGCCGGACCTTGACCATATAGGGCTTTCAAGGTTAAAACCAGCACCTTGAAACGAATCTGCTATGCTATTGGCAGCCAGTGCAGTGCTTTCAGTACCGGCTGGATGTGTTCCCACATGGGGATACTCATCAACAGTCTGGCTGCCGCATTCTGCACTAGCCAGTTTGGTGTGGTGGTTCTGAGAGCCGCATTCTGAGAGCCAGTTTGGTGTAGTGGTTAAGTGCGCGGACTCTAATCTGGGAGAACCGGGTTTGATTCCCCACTCCTCCACTTGCACCTGGCTGGATGACCTTGGGCAAGCCGTAGTTCTGATAAGAGCTGTTCTTGAAAAAGAGCAGTTTTTGTCAAGAGCCCTCTCAGCCCCACCTACCTCACAGGGTGTCTGTTGTGGGGAAGGGAATGGAAAGGAGTTTGTAAGCCGCTCTGAGACACCTTTGGGTAGTGAAGGGCGGGGTATAAATCCAATCTCTTCTTCTTCTTCTAGCTGCAGCTTCAGGATTTGAGACAAGGGCAGCCCCATGTAGAGAGTGTTACAGTAGTCCAGTTTTGAGGAGACCATCACATGGATCACTGTTACCAAGTGGTTACATTTGATGAAGGGATCCAACTGCCTAACAAGCCAAAGATGATAAAAAGCTGATCTGTCTTCGTTAGATTCAATTTCAATCAACTCAGTCTAAGCCAACTAGCCACAGCCTGCAATGATCGGTCTAGATTTTTCGGTGCAGAGTCAGACTGGCCGCCCAACAACAGATAGAGCTGGGTGTCATCCGTATATTGGTGACACCCAAGCCCGTGCCTTTGGACAATCTAGGCAAGGGGGCGCATATAGGTGTTAAACAACATTGGGTAAATTACTGCCCCTTGGGGCACTTCACAGGGCAGTGGGTGACTTCGGAACAGTCGATCCCCTAGTGCCACCCTTTGTCCCCGACTCTGGAGAAAGAATGAGAGCTATTGTAAGGCAAGCCCCTGAACTCTGGTGTTGGTGAGGTGGTGGATCAGTAGCTGATGGTTGACCATGTTGAACGCCACTGACAGGTTCAACAACAACAGCACTGCCAATCTGCCTCAATCCAAATGCTTCCGAAGGTCATCCGTGAGGGTGACCAGTGCTGTCTCCGCCCCATGTCCTGGGCAGAAGCCAGACTGGAAGGGATCTAAGATGGAAGCGTCATCCGAAAAACTCTGTAACTGCGCTGCCACAGCCCTCTCAATTAGCTTGCCCAAATAGGGCAAGTTGGAAACCGGCTTCGCCAATTCAGCCGGATCCAGTGATGTGTTTTTTTTCTTCAAGAGGAGACGAACCATGGCCCCCTTGAGTGTCCCAGGGAACAAGACCTCCAAGAGAGACCTGTTAATCATCTTCCCTAGGGCACCTCAAAACCTGTTGCAACCTGCTTTGATGAGCCACAGTGGGCACAGGTCAAGGAGGCAAGTGGTAGGGTATACAGTTATGAGCAGTTTGTCAACTTCCTCTGGACTGAGTGGACTACAATAATCCAAAACCTGACTAGAAGACGTGCATGGGGCCTTGAGTTCGTTCACTGTTTCAAGTGTGGCAGGGAGTTCACAGCAGAGTGACAAGACTTTATCCGCGAAGCAGCTTGCAAAAGCCTCACAGCCAATATCCAATTCCCTAACACTTGACCTACCTTGTGGCAGAGTTGTCATCAATCGAATCGTTCTAAATAATTGGGCTGGGCATGAGCTTGCAGATGCAATCGAGGCAGCATAATACTCTTTCTTCACAGCTTTGACTGCCATCTCATAGGATCTCATAAACATCCTATAAGATGTTCTTGTTGCTTTGTCACCTCTATACCGCCACTGTCTCTCTAGCTGTCTTAGCTCTTACTTCATCAGCCGCAAGTCCTGGGTATACCAGGGTGCCAGCCTCGTGCGAGAGTGCAGAGGAGGTCGGTGAGCGATCTCGTTGATGGCTGCCGAGAGTTGGCTATGCCAATCCTCCACAAGCTCATCTAACAAGCTGCCGGGGGGCATCAGATCCCACAGAGCCATTTGAAGCTGCACTGGGTCCATTTTTACTGACAGAACCAAGCTTGGTTGCCTAACAACAGCC